GCAGTGACAATGATTTAACAGCTGTATGAGAGGATAGTTCAGGCAGACAATGTTGAAAATTTTTGGGGTATTACTGGCAAGTTGACGGAGCAGTGCTTGTGAAAAGTCTATTAATAGTCTATGGCTTCTCAGATGAATCCAAATGGGCCTTACCTGATTTTGGCCCCTTACAATTTTGCCAAGTTCTTTTTTGTAGTGCTGTAGTAGTCAAAGGGCACAGTCACATTTTGGGACTGAGTGCTCTGGGCCCTGGGTGCTTTACAAAAAAACATGAACATAGTGCCTGCCAGCTGCCCCTAAACTGTGCAGTCAAAAAGACAAATGCAGGTAAAGCCCAGCAGAAGGGCCAACAAGATACTAAGAGAGATGAGGAGCAATTAGCATATGCCATGTGAGTTCCATGATTCATCCAGTTTTATTTACTTATATATTTACTAACCTTTTCTCCATATGCCCTTCAACTAACCATTGCAAGTTTATGCCCATATGCCCCTCAAACTAACAACTTCCCCACACATACTGTGCATAACTCATTGTTACTTGCTCTGCTAGGTGACTCGCCCATTCATAGACAATTAGGGTTGGAAGGGACCTCAGGAGGTCATCTAGTCCAAAACCCTGCTCAAAGCAGAACCAGATCCAACTAGACCATCCCAAGCAAGGCTTCATCTAGCCAGGTCTCAAAAACCTCCAAGGATGGAGAGTCCACAACCTCTCTTGGTAACCTGTTCCAATGTTTTCTACCCTCCTAGTGAGAAAATTCTTCCTAATATCTAACCTAAGCTTCCCTTGCTGCAACTTAAGACCATTGTTCCTTGTTCTGTCATCTGCCACCACTGAGAACTTCTGCCATCCTCTTTCGAACTCCCCTACAGGTAGTTGAAGGCTGCTATTAAATCCCTCTCAGTCTTCTCTCCTCAAGACAAAATAACCCCACTCCCCCCAGCCTCTTCCCAAGAGTCATGTGCCCCAGCCCCTGAACTATTTTTGTTGCCCTCTGCGGACTCTCTCCAATTTGTCCACATCTGTGGGGGGGCCCAAAACTGGACACAGTACTCCAGATGTGGCCTCACCAGTGCTGAATAGAGGGGAATAATCACTTCCCTTGACCTGCTGGCAACACAACTACCAATGCAGCTCAGTATGCTGTTAGCCTTCTTGGCAACAAGGGCACACTTGGCTCATATTCTGCTTATTGTCCACTGTAACTCCCAGGTCATTTTCTGCAGAGCTTCTGCCCAGCCAGTCAGCCCCCAGCCTGTACTGGCTATACATGGGATTTGTTCCGACCTAAGTTTGGGACTTTGCACTTTTCCTTGTTGAATCTCATGAGACTTCTTTTGGTCCAATTCTCCAATTTGCCTAGCTCACCCTGAATCCTAGCCCTACCCTCCGGCATACCTACTCTTCCCTGCCCCCACCCTTTACCATATTAAGGACAGCCGAGTCCTGAAGAGATGTGATTTACTGTTCCCACAAAAAGCAGCCTTCAGCAGACAAATCATTCTACGTATACCAAGACAGGCCATGGCAGCAATGTGCTCAAAGGAACACAAACTGCATGTGAATGTCCTTTCTAAGTAGCATCCCATACTCAGCAAATACAGACCTCCTGCAAGGCAGGGAAAACATGAGTTAAGATAGCATTCACACCCAGTTTGCTGGGGCATGGATCTTTCCTTTAGGGAGCAGCAATGTCTCTTGTCTCTACTTCCCACACAAATATCCTGTTGAATAAAAGCCAGAAGAGAAAAATATGCCAATTTTATACACCGAATCTAGACTTTTTCTAATCCAAAGACCCAGTAATGCACTTACTGCTAAGAAAACAACTCCTGTCAAAACAGTAAAGCACTGGCTTGAACATAGGTGGCTAGAAAATGCAAGTGTCCTCACAGTTCCCCTTGTCTGGCCAGGGTTCTTCCAAGATAATAAGACAGACAGCCCAATGTATGCTGCTCTCAGAAAGTTGGGTAGAGAGCTAGGGAGAGTTATTAACTGGGATTCAGAAGCTTCCCATTTTTAGTTTAAGACAAGCCTTTGCTGTTACTTTGCATTTGAAGATTTGGGAATATGCTCATTATTTCTCAGTTTTGGCATCTAATTCCTTGAAGAAAAGGATGTTGGGTTCATGAAACCAGAAAATGTCGGGTCTGACCAAAAGAAAAAAAATCCAGCAACACACAGAGCTCTGTGTATTCGGAGAGGAATTGGCAGGGCTGAGTGGTGGCAGAAAACTCCAAGCAGTACTAAGGGACGTGCCCGGAGTGGAAAAATCATGCTAATTGTCTGTGAGAGGGACCTAAAACTAAACCCAAAATGAAGAGAGAAAGAGGCGCCTTGTCCAGAGTCCTCAGCACTCCAGGTTTCACGCGTTTGGTGTGCCTTCTTCTTATCCACACAGGTAAGAGAACACTAGTCTCTGAAGAATTTGTGAACGGCGAGTGGGTTTTGCAGATGTCTTGATATGTGTGGTGAGGTTAAAGAAGTAAATACCAGTGTGTTTATGAGCTTACTGTGCTTACCCATGCATGAAGAAGTGGGATTTATTTATTCATGTAGCATCTTTTAATGCCTTTTCTTCTCCCAATGTAGCAGGTCCCTGTCTTTGGAAAAAGATTTCAACGTTTTAAATGGGAATTAAGCAGTTTCTTATGGTACAAATAACTTATCTGTGCCACCAAAATCAGGATTTTGAATCCTGTTTTTGAGTGTTCTGTCTGAGTGAGTTTTCAAAGTGGGACAGTTTGGTGGTACAGTTAATCTAATACTCTTTTTGAAAGACAGTTCAAGTTGATTCAGTTGATAATTCAGCTTTTTTGAAGTTTGATCCAAGATAGAAGTGGTGGAAAGTTTTAACAACTGCTATTCAGATATAGGCACTGATGCTGGGCATAAATGTTGGCTTGAGCCCCATGATTGTAGAAGATATAATGGACTATTTAAAAGGCAATTAGTTCCTATTATTATTCTAGAAATGTGGGGAAAGGAGTTTTATTTGAAAACCCTGCTCCTGCAAAAAGTCCTCTCTGTTTGAATCTTTTTCCAGCTCCTCAGAGAAGTGGAATTTAATGGGATCTATGTGCTAGCTTCAATACTGTATGACCTACCCAGCTGCCATGGAGATGAACTCTCTCTCTCATCATTGTTTCTTAAGCAGCCCACACATGCATATTGGAAATGATCTGGAATACACTTAGATAGGTTGGCAGGCATCTGGGCTGGGTTTTGGTTTCCTTTTTATTTATCTTTGAAAAGAGAAGATAAATATATTTTATTTATCTTTGTCCCCACTGGTACTGTGCTGTGCTAATGCTAACCCACTTGCAGGCAGTTTACAGTAGCTTGTTAGTGGTAAAAGTCCCAGTGTTTGTCTCAGCTGACAGGGTTGTTCATGAGCACATTTGGAACAGTTTGTTCCACACTTTTCAGCTGTCAGAGATAAATAAAGAACTGCATGGTTGCAGAAGGTCCTGTGCTCTTTTGTAAAAACAGCTCTATAAACAGCACTCTGCCATAACAGTGATGAATCTTGAGCAAAGGCTGAGAGACTTCCAAGGAGGGGCAAGCAGGGTAAAGTGTGCATGCTCAGTGAAAAGGGCCCTTAGGTCTGAAACAAGGAGTAGGTAATACTGAACCTGTGCTGCCTGGGAGTCAGCTTTAGCACCTCAAAGTGCTCTACAGAGTCTCTAAATGCTCTTATGGCTCCTACTGCCCCAGGCACTCCATGAATCCATCCACTGGGATTAAGGAAAGAACCAGATGCAAAATAAAGGCTTACATTACCTTTACTTGGATGTTAAATTCACCTTCTATCTGCATCCGCTGCCATTAAGTCTGTAGTACTTCACTGGGTTCTGACTGGTGTTAGGGCAGTGCTTGGTTAATATGTCTGGCTCTGCTCTTTTAGGTGTTAGTCTTGTTTCTGCACAGTTGTGAATAGGTGCTATTGTCAGTAATGTAGTTGCCACTCAGCATGAGGAGCCATGGATTCCACCAAGAAAGACAGGCTCAGTAAGATGCCTTTTCCTTCAGTTGGGTCATTCAGGGTGCAGATTTGGGGGATGGGGAGGGGTCATCCCCCTGCAGGAGCACAGAAGTGGTTTTTAAGAACACTTAAACACATATTAAAGAGGAACAACACTGCAAAAACACGACTTCTACTCTAGATTTCCAGCAGTGCTGAGTGTGAGTTCCTCATCTGTTAAACCAATTTGCTCTTTGTATATTAATGGAAGCACGGCACAACAGGTAGAGTGTTTCCAGCAAATCCAGCCATTTGCTGAAGCTTTGCTGTGCTTTCAGTGCCAGTGCCTTCTTGTGCTGAGATATAACAGGGGGAGCTGCTCTGGGCCCGTGAGATCCAAGACCAAATTTTGTGAAAGTAGTACTCTTGGAGATAGGTCACTTTGTTTCTTTTGTGATAATATGAACATACTGTAAAATGGCAGCTCCATATCAACTCTGCATACCTATGAACATGGCTAGCAAGGCTACCACAATGCCTTCCTCCCTCCTGCTAGGCAAAGGCCTAAGTATAGCTTGTCTACACTAGCATAATGAGCCTTTACACCTGGGACAAAAAGGAGCTGACTCATAACAGCCCTGCATGGACGAAACTGACTTGAATCTAATATAGAATTACTCTGGTAGAAATCAGGATAAAATTCTCTTGATAGAAGTAATATGAGTTTAAGTGTTGCGTATCTGCAGCTTGTCCTGGGGTAGCGGTTTGCTCAAGGCAAACAGGCTTTTGCCAGCCTCCCCACCACCTAGTGGTGAGGCTCTGTAATAGCTATCTCCTGAATGCAGTTACCTCAAATGTTGTCTGTTCTGCATACGGGTGTCATTTATGTCGGTGTACAAAACTAGTGTAAATTATATTGGTGTGATTGTCCTATGCATCTTTCTCCAGGGGCTACCAGTGGTGGTGGGGGGCGGGTGTTATAGACAAGCCTGAGGGGTACTCTCACCAGGGGTGTTTATTGCTTAGGGAGGGCCTTTATTATGTGACCCTAAAATGCAACAGTTGTTCTGTCGTGACAAGTGACAGAACAAGAAGCAACGGTATCACGTTGCAGCAAGAGAAGTTTAGGTTAGATATTAGGAAAAACTCTCTCACTAGGAGGGTCGTAAAACACTGGAACAGCCAGACAGGTTGTGCAAGCTCCATCTTTGGAGGTTTTTAAGACCCAGCTAGACAAAGGCAAGGGGCTGGGATGATTAGTTGGGGATAGTCCTGCTTTCAGCAGTGGTCTGGATTAGATGATCTCCTAAGGACCTGGGCTGAGCTGGGGCCCCTAGGACTTCTGGGCTCCTAGCTTCTTGGTGGTAGTTAGAACTCGAGGCTGCTTAGGGATCTTGTGACTTTCAACAGAAAAAGCTGATATGAAGTGATTACACATAAATGCATACATTGCAGACTACTTTTTTCCATGGAAAATTTTGAAATTGGGAGCTTTCATTCTGATGCAAAACAAACTATTTTGGGGTTCCAGAATTTCTTGTAGAAATTCCAGATTCTGATCAGCTTTAGTGTGAATTATTATGCAAGCTATAGGATATTTATCTGCACTGAGGCAGGCAACATTCACATAAATGCCACATAATTTTATATTAGGGGAGCACCGATACAGATCTTGGGGCCAATATCCGATATTTAAGGAGATATATTGGCCGATATGGATCTGATTCCCGATACAGCTGCCTCCAGCTGGTAAGTCCATTGTTGGGGGAGGGCAGATCAACACCCACCACAGTGAGGGAGGGAGCAGGAACAGGCGCTGTCCAGTTGGGGCGGGGTGGGTGTGGGAT